TATTTGTTCTTGTTTTTTTGGTCTATCAATGTTTCTAAGTACAATCCAGGCTCCTGGCTAATGTTATAATGCTTCTCCGTTCAGTGAAGGACTAACTGTTAATATTTTAAGAAGTTTTTTAAGGCCACTGCAAAGTTTAGTGACCTTTTATCAGCAAGTGATGTCAATGACAAACGTTGCTCCTGATAAAAATGAACCTTGTTTAAATGTTTGTTTTTTGTTGTGACCACTAGGATTGGGTCTCCCACCAGAATACCAGCCTTCACATCGAGAACTGCAGATTTCTGCGAAAGCGGTCAATCTTTCTTCTCTGTACTTCGTGATTATGAACTGATATCTTTGGGGCAGCACAACCATGGGTGTGCCGAAATGATGCCGGGGTTGTAATACTAGGATAGCTTCCTAAGAACTGTTCATTTGTATTTTTTCATTATCGTTTTTATTTGCTGTATTTTTGTAAAGCACCTTAATGATTTGCAGCATTTACCATGAGCCATTTCCCCTAACCTAAATTGTTATGAAGCTGAATAAATTTCTTAATTAATGAAGAATAATATATTTTTAAGGACATTCTACCTTGCAACACCTGACAAAAATGTATCTGTGTTTTTCCACAGATACCCAGAATGGAACGGTGAAATAGCATCACTGCTAGGGTAAATATCTTCATTTGAAGTCATTTGGCGTATAAAAAAATATGCCAGTATTGGAGGCTTTCTTTTTCTTTGATTTAACATGTGCCTTTCTTTTTATATGCAATTGTTAGTGCGTCAGGTGCCAAGCCCTCTCCCTCAACTTCTGCTGAGAAAACCAGACATGAGAGTCGTTCCCGTTCCTCCAGCCCCCGGAGCCATCGTGACTCGGAGCGTAGCAGGGACAGGCGAAGTAGCCGTTCCCGCTCTCGCAGCCCCCGCACTCATTGTGACTCGGAGCGAAGAAGAAATAGACGAAGTAGCCATTCCCGCTCCCGCAGCCATCATGACTCGGAGCGTAGCAGGGACAGACGAAGTAGCCGTTCCCGCTCCGGCAGTCCACGTCGCCGCCGTTACTTGGAGCGTAGGAGGGACAGACGAATTAGTCATTCCCGTTCTCGATCACGCAGCCCCCGAAGGGAGAGACACAGAAGCCGATCACGATCTCCGTACAGCTCCAGACGTAATCGCAGGTCTGTCCAACATACATTTTGAGAGCTAGGATCAATCAAGACGATTTAGCTCTCCATTGGAGAGGGCGAAATGTAATTTATTTAATAATGTAAACTTAAACACTTAATTGGTGGACAGTATTTACCTTTTGTATCCATGCTGGATGTTTGCTTTGAGATGTTTATGAGTCATTAAGTTCTTTGATTAATACTTTTTTCAGGTCCCGGTCTCATTCTGACTCCTCGTGGTATGACCGTCCTTCCTCTTCCCGATATCGATCACGCTCAAGGGGCCG